AAGGGAATTAAGGCCGACTAAATTTTTTGGTGCATACGAACGATTAGATATTGAAAAGTCCTTTTAACATTTTATCATGGAATTACCTTGAAAATTTACAATAACTAATTCGTAACATTTATGTTATTGTTGTAAAATTTGTATGAAAATTTGTATGGGAGGTGTCACGCCCCTATTACCTTTTCATTGTATTATAATTTTTAGTTGGCGGCTCTGAAGACCAGCGGTTTTAAACAAGCAGCAAACACATCTGTTAAGTAAAATAATTGAATTATTTTAAAATTTTAATTTCTTTATTTGATTGTAAATTTTCGAAAGTAGTATTGTGCATTATAATTTGTTAAGATCTTCTAATTCTTTTTTTTTGTTTTAACGCAAGTAAATACAATGCAAAATACAAAGATGCATTCATATTTGCATCTCATTGTTAAAAGTAAGTAAATTAAAGTGTTTTACAATTTGAATATTCGTATTTGCCTAGCTAAAGTTTTGTAATTTGGTCTAGAAAGTTGCTAGAAAATTAAAATTTTGTCAGCATAAATCACTGCTTTGTTTTTTTGTATTTATAATTTTTTTCATTTCATTATTATTTTCGATTAATTGCTTGTAAGCAAAAAAAAAAAAAACAAAAAATTGCACTGGCTACACCGCGGTGAATTTCGTACAGCATTTTGTGTTTTTTTACATTTATGTATGGCAGCTAGTACTATCTTCACGATCTCCTTGTTAGCTTTTTGTTGCATTTAAAGTTTGTAAGCACGCCGCATCACCAAATCGAAGTAGGCATCATTATCAATTGAAGCGCTAATAGTGGCATAGTAATTAATAAATTCTTCTTTCGTCACCTTGCCATCGCGATTGCCGCGTCCACCCTCGAAATTATTAAGGAACTGTGTAAGTATCTCATTCTCCGTCATTTCACCACTAAGATACTTGGGATGATCCTTCACAGAATATACTGTCTTCAAGTCTTCAATTGTGATTTCGCCATCACCATTGCGGTCGATTTTTTTAAATGCCTTATCGATGATATCCAAACGGGACTGGGACATGGATGGCTATCCGTGTAGGAATGTAATGTACAAAAATAAATGAAAGTAAAGCAATAAATCTGCAATAAGCCAGTGTGCACATAGAGCATTTGTTATATTCGTTAGTTCTATAACTACGAATTTAAATGAAAACAAAAATCTAAAATCATTTTTCGTATATTTTTTTGTTTTTGCGAAAATTCGCGTTCGCTATGTTAGCGTTTCAAAAGAAAATCCAATTTTATTATGCTTACCCGCAATTTCAGCAAAAATTCGGTCATATTTATTGAACCGCTGTTATCTTCGTCGAATCTGCAAAAAGATAAAGCGTATAATAGAAAGGGAGACTCGTTTAGAAATAAGTGAGAAATAAAAATTTTAGCAATCAAAATCAGGCAAGCGTTTGATGAATTTTTTACTCGCAGCTTTTTGTGCATCAGCCTGCACATTTTACACTATGTATCAAAAAATAAATTGGCATTTGAATATTTTTCTTTACGAGGGTCACTAAGCAAGTCCTTAGAAATTGTAACACTAATGCCATGTATTCGCTCCCCGATGAACGTCGAGAATGTCGTCCAATATCGGGTTGGCATGCCAGAGAACATCAACATGTGACATATCGCTCTAAGACAGAGACGAAATGTTGCTAAGTCCACTTTTTATGAAAACTCATATTTTGAAGCAAGAGAAATTCGAAATGCTTCGTTTCGTTTATTTTGCGTTTATATTCAATTAATTAGGTAAATTTAAAGAATATCTTGGAAACCAATTAATTTGTTTTTTTTTTTTCTTACATTTTCTAAGGACTTCTGACCCGCGACCCGTGTAGCTTTCACAATGGGAATTAGAGTAGCCTAACTTATAAATTATTAAATATTATTATACAAACTATCATATAATGTACCTTTTAATTAAAAGCAAAGATAAACATTTGTATACATATGCTTCATATTTACTTACTTGGCAAACATATCCTTAATTTCGTTTTCCGTGCACTCCAGACCAGTTTCTTGTATGCCCTTACTGAACTCCTCGTAATTCAAAGCTTTGCTGCCATCATCATCCATATTGCGAAAAGTCCTAAAAGGTAAAAGCGCAATCTTGAAAGGTGAAAGTTATGCCAATCGATTTAAGGGAATTTGCTCTACAATTTATTCTTTTGCTATTCGTGTTTGTTCGTTCGGCATCTGCTATTTGTGTAGGCGTGGGCCAGCCTTTTGGCGTTTGTACTAATCGCTAATACCAAGTGAGAACCACTGATATCCCCGTTATGCCAAACCTAGGTTTTACATACCGCGCATTTACTAGATGACTATTGATAACTAAAAAAAAAGTGTTTTTCAGGAGACTCATTTGGAGTTTTTACACAATATAGCGATCAGTTCTGCATCTTGTGCTAAAAAATTTACTATTTTGAATTATAATTCCTTTAGTAAATGGACGATATATTATTATATGCGCTGCTTAAATTTGACTAAATGATGGGAAATATGCCTCGGTATTTTAAGCCGATGTATTTGCAATTCTCAAATTCATGGACTACGCGGTGGAGATTCATGAGTTTACATATCTGTAGTGGCGATCAAGCTGCACTCAAAGCATTGGCCAGCCCTCTTAACTACTTCCAGGTTCGACAATGCGGACAGCTTGATAGACTTTTGACAGGCCAATGCTCGGGGTGTTTTAATACATAGACGCCATATTATACATACATATGCGCCATATTAANCCGTGCACTCCAGACCAGTTTCTTGTATGCCCTTACTGAACTCCTCGTAATTCAAAGCTTTGCTGCCATCATCATCCATATTGCGAAAAGTCCTAAAAGGTAAAAGCGCAATCTTGAAAGGTGAAAGTTATGCCAATCGATTTAAGGGAATTTGCTCTACAATTTATTCTTTTGCTATTCGTGTTTGTTCGTTCGGCATCTGCTATTTGTGTAGGCGTGGGCCAGCCTTTTGGCGTTTGTACTAATCGCTAGTACCAAGTGAGAACCACTGATATCCCCGCTATGCCAAACCTGGGTTTGACATACCGCGCATTTACTAGATGACTATTGATAACTAAAAAAAAAAGTGTTTTTCAGGAGACTCATTTGGAGTTTTTACACAATATANCATTTGCTCTACAATTTGTTCTTTTGCTATTCGTGTTTGTTCGTTCGGCATCTGCTATTTGTGTAGGCGTGGGCCAGCCTTTTGGCGTATGTACTAATCGCTAATACCAAGTGAGAACCACTGATATCCCCGTTATGCCAAACCTAGGTTTTACATACCGCGCATTTACTAGATGACTATTGATAACTAAAAAAAAAGTGTTTTTCAGGAGACTCATTTGGAGTTTTTACACAATATAGCGATCAGTTCTGCATCTTTTGCTAAAAAATTTACTATTTCGAATTATAATTCCTTTACGATATATTATTATATGCGCTGCTTAAATTTGACTAAATGATGGGAAATATGCCTCGGTATTTTAAGCCGATGTATTTGCAATTCTCAAATTCATGGACTACGCGGTGGAGATTCATGAGTTTACATATCTGTAGTGGCGATCAAGCTGCACTCAAAGCATTGGCCAACCCTCTTAACTACTTCCAGGTTCGACAATGCGGACAGCTTGATAGACTTTTGACAGGCCAATGCTCGGGGTATTTTAATACATAGACGCCATATTATACATACATATGCGCCATATTAAGACACACCCCGTGCGTCCGCCACTGACTGGCACGTAGTNGCCCTCTTAACTACTTCCAGGTTCGACAATGCGGACAGCTTGATAGACTTTTGACAGGCCAATGCTCGGGGTGTTTTAATACATAGACGCCATATTATACATACATATGCGCCATATTAAAACACACCCCGTGCGTCCGCCACTGACTGGCACGTAGTTTAACCCCCAAAATCCCCCCGCTGGATACGCCACTGGCAACAGGTTAGTATTCGATTTGAGAACCAGACCATTATCCAGCAAAACGGAACCTTCATTATCCAATGTATTTTGCCTTCTTTATGAATGTGAAATCCAGAGCCAATTATTGAATTGAAATTTTATTCTGAGAGAGTGATTGTCTCTTCGAGAATGAGCTGGAATTCACTTTCTCTCTTGTTACTATGGTTTTCATTTTTTCGACCCCATTGTAGAGTGTATTTCCAATTTACTCTGAACGTTTGAAAAATTAGGTTGGTTATGAGTTCGTTCCCGGTTCGGTATTCATATTGGATATCGAAGGTCTCTTTCGAACGTTTGTCACAATGTTTATTGGGTATATTGCAAAAAAAGCTTTCTATTTACCTCCGGAAAATATTTCCTTTTTAACAACGCTGTATCCAAATGCTGTTCCATTGGACTTTGCATGCTGACGCAATTTTGTTGATCAATTAAAGATTTGCTGTCCATGATACAACATATGTCAACTAATTGGGTTTGCTTAAAAAGTAAAATTATTTTTTGTTCCCCTCACCGCTAGCCAACAAAAAGCGAAAAAATTTAGCATACCTAGTCAGTCTGCAACTTTCATACAAACAACATTCATTTGGATTATTCCCTGTAAGAGCCACCACTGGCATACCAGTTTACCGTGATTCTTACATTTTTTGTATTTCTTTTTTTTTTGTAATTTCATTATTTTAATGCTCTGGCATGCAAGGACCCACTCTGCACAAAATCCAATGATAAATACATACATACATACGCCCATACATACCAGTTGCGAGCAAGAAAAAATGAGAACTTTTTTCAAAGTGCAACCAACAAAACTCTACCAACTTTACCGGCCATTACAACAACTATACAGCAAACACCCAATAACCAACTAACCAGCTGTCAGCTAGTCAACAGAACTCTGTGGCATGGCAACATGCATTAAGTTACATGTTGCACGAAGAGCAAGCAGCAGCACTCTTGAATAGTTTATGCGGCATGCTGACGACTGATGAATGATTGGACGGACAGCTGGTTGAACAGCCGAGCAGTCGAACAGTCGAACAGTTAAGGAGTGCAGCGCAATGGCGCCACAGACAGACAATCACTGTTGATGACGGTTGGTGGGGTCGTTGCTGGTCGAAGTGTTTTCGATGTTGGCTGTTGTTGTTGTTGTTGCCATCTGTTTGTGTGTTAAAATCTCGTGGTATCGTTAAAACGAAATGTTGAATATTTTATTTTATTACATTGTATTTGCATTGAATTGCAGTTTCATTTGTGCCATCATCTGCATTGCTTACCGCTGGCCTGACCGCAGTGCTCCCACTCGGGCACACGAATTTAAGGACAGCGGCATTCAACATTTTATTTCGCCTGTCTGTTTTTTTTTGTGTGTGAAATTTCAGTGGTATCCTTTGTAATGTCTAGTTTNACAACATTTTATTTCGGCTGTCTGTTTTTTTTTTGTGTGTGAAATTTCAGTGGTATCCTTTGTAATGTCTAGTTTGCAGACTTTTTTCGAATGAACGTTCCCCAATTCTCTGCATATAACTGTCTGTCATCGGCTGGCTTGTCAATACTTCTCGGTATCTTCTGTCCGTCGTGTCTCTTATTGCGCTCATTTCAACAGAAATGCGCACATATAGCAGCATTTGAAATTTTTTTCATTACGCACCTACCTTACCGTCCCACCCCAATTACCTGGCTAATCCGAGTATGCCGGTTGCGCCACGACTGAAGCACAGCAATCGTAATTTGTAGATTGGATCCTTGTCGCGTCCGTCTGCTAGCTNTATCTTGTGTCCGTCGTGTCTCTTATTGCGCTCATTTCAACAGAAATGCACACACATAGCAGCATTCGCAATTTTTTTTTCAAAACGCATCTATCTACCTTACCATCCCACCCCAATTACCTGGCTAATCCGAGTATGCCGGTTGCGCCGCGACTGAAGCACAGCAATCGTAATTTGTAGATTGGATCCTTGTCGCGTCCGTCTGCTAGCTCCCGCTTTGAGCGGTTGATGAGTGAGGCCTCTTTGGAGAAGAAGTCGTCACGGCCACTCATCTGGAAGTAATGCGATAAAAGAGCTTAGTTTAGATTCGTTTACCAACTGCATCTGCTTTTATACGAAATATTTTATATTATTTCTATTGTTATTAATATTAGTGTGCTACTATTGTTGTTGCACCGCTGCCGTTACGGTTGTGGCAATTCAATACTTTGCGCAATAAGCTTTGCTATTTTTTCTGCACTTTGCGTTGACCTTTCGTGCACTTACATTTTTTGCTCGTTCTTTTGTCCTTCAATTGAATTATTGGACTTAAACCGTTGTTCCGGTACGTTTATTTTATCTATAGCACAGCTTTTTGCCGTTTCACGGAAGAAATTTTTCAATCGCTTTCAATTTTGAAAACTCAAAAAAATATTTATTTTCCTTTGAAAGTAATAATTTTTTGAATCATGATTTTATGTTCTCATTGAAAGAAAAAGTGGATGCATTTTGAGTTGGAAAAAAAATTAAAAATTTAAAAAAGCAGAAATAATTTACATTCGTAGAAGTTACAGCAGCTATTCTATTTCAAAGACAACCACATTTCCGCAACAATGTTCTTCATGGGCTTACGGGGATTCATCGCCGGACAAAAGTGGAGGCTCAGAGATCTTTTCGCAATGTATGCAAAGCTTTTTGTTCTAATTTTTTTTCGTTTATTTTTCATAAAAATATGAATAGTTAATACTACAACAAAAAATATCGTATGAATAAAAATAAGCAACAGCAATTGTGAACAATTTCATTATACCCGAGCGCACTTGTGCACAAGGGTATATTAATTTTGTTCACATAACGGTTGTTTGTAACAGCCAAAACGAATCGAGATAGATATAGACAAATGTATACATAAATGATCAGGATGAAAAAAGAAATCGATTAAGCCATGTCNTCATTTTAATATGATATTAAAATGCTTGCAAACGTCATAAAAAAATCATGGCCGACAAATTGAGAGAATGAATTTATTTTCCCTGCAAGCCAAAGTTCCTGAAATCTAAACAGAATCTTTAGAAGTATCTCATTTCTGTAACGATTTTTTTTTGCGAACGCTCAACGAAAATTATATGAAGTAGTTGACACGAATTCGCAAAGCAATTTCTGAACGAAAAATAATGAAAATTCTGAAAAAATTCTGGAATAAGTAGCAGCAATGATTAATGATTTTCGTTTTTAAATATTGTAATATAATCGTAGTGTGCAAAATTTAGATCTTTATGAATTCTTTAAAATTTCTCTATAATTAAGAGTTCTCTG